GAACAAAAAGATTCTAATACAAAATTTAAAGAAGAGTAGAGTATGAAAGAATACATTCTAACGTATTACAGATTACGTAAAAAAATATGTGTTTAATATCCTTTAAGAACTACTCGACTGACAGACGAACAAAAGTTCGTCTGTCAGTCGAGTAGTTCTTAGAATAGGGATGTTCGTCAACATCCCTATTCTAGGAGGTAAAGTCAAAGAATTTAAAAAGGAAAGAAAAAAATTAACGTTGAAATAAAATATAATAACTTAAATGTATCTAATAAATATCATAATAATAGTATATTCAACAAAATACGTATTAGTAGTCTCTCGTAACTACCGTTGTCGAATCATATCTTATTACCATAGCTTATGCCTTTTTTTTTATTATTCAACGTTGTCGACTAAATAGTTCTTAATATATTTTTTTGTGAAATGTTTCTTAAGTTAAAAGTCGTAATACATAACACGAATGTAGTTCTTATCACAAAAAAGCTTAACTCTAAACACAGATTTAAAAAGCTATGAATATAATTTTTTGATAACCCTATAGTGGTAATTTTAATCCGACTGTACGTTGTCGTAATTAAATATATATTATTTAATCATTGTTTCACTTTAAACAATATTTCTCCTTGAGATAAATGTATGAGTTCGTTCAACTTAATTTTAATGAAAATAAGAAGTCGTCTAGACAGAAAACTCAAACATAAATACGCATTAAAATCTACATTGCCGAAATTTTCCAGAACTGGCTACTTGAAATAAATAACATAGAAAACTAATCTTGTAATTTGTACTTGTGAATAGAACTTTCTATGAATATAAATACTTTTTTAATATGCGTGTTAATCATTTGTTATGTCGGGGCCTTAAATCAGTGAGAGAATTGCCAGTGACTTCGTAAGCATTTAGATAGTAATGTAGCCACACTTTGGTGCAATCAGTACGGTTAGTTTTTACGTAATTTTCTTATTATTAATTTGGACTTAATTTCTTTGATCACAATAAACATACATGTCTTTTCGAATTTACCAATATTATTACATAACACCGATTACTAATTCCTTATTTTAAAAAATGGACAAAAGAACTTCAAACCCATTATTACCATGATTATTTTTAGTGACGAGTTTTTCATAATAGAGTTACCTGGCTACATATAAAAATTATCTCAGACCGGGCAGCCATTCGCATTTTTAAGACAAAATCGAGAGCATTGTCTACTGTGAACCTTGACAAAAACACTCGTAAACACTTGACGGGCTTGTATAAGCAATCACCTACACAAGCCAGCCGAATTTTTATGATTTTTGTGAGGTTGCTTATCTATCTGTAAATATATATTATCAACCTGTACCTTATACAATCCATTACCAACGCAATGCAGTCGAATTTTTATGATTCAACCAAGGCTAGTAGACAATGCTCTCGTTTCTAGGTCACTAGTAGAGGACAAAAATATTATAATATAAATATTTTTCACGACTATAGACTGTTATTGATTTTCAAGATTTGTGTAAAAATATACTTTATTATTGAGACCTAGCGAATGTAATCCAACGCATTGGGAAAATTCGTTTAAAAATAATAATAAATAAAAATGAATTTTACTTTCACTTATGTTTATACAAATGATTCAATGAATACAACAATACAATTTCAGTGATATACATTAATATTTGAAAGCTTTCAGTTGATTTTCGTTCGTATATGAATTCAGACGTGTTAATGGGTCGGGACAGTCATGTTTTGTATCATATGTGTTTTAATTATTTGCGTGCTATAAACAGGTAAACTCATTTAAGGATATCGGCGAATATTTGATTATAATTAGTGATAAATACAATATTATTACATAAAGTGGCACTCGTGGTCAAGAATTCATGATAACATTATATTAAGAATGGACACAATATCTTTGAACCCGTTTTTACTAAAATTTCGCGGGCAGGGGAGTGTAAAATTGATCAAATTTAAAGTTTATAAGAGAAGTGCAGTATAATAATATTTTTAAATGATAATGCTTAACAGTTATATTACTATATGGGTTCGGTCGGACTATCGGGACGCGAATTCGTGTCGCTCTTAACTGAAATATACCTAATTAATAATTGAAACTTATTAATTAGGTATATTTCAGTTAATAGGAACATAACTATTAAAAATTACACGTAACTTTAAAAAATCCTAACGTTATAAACCCTAATTAAATTGGGGCATTATCAATGTTATTAGCGTTGGAGTAAATTTACGCTGACACAGCACTTAGTATCAGTCAAGAATCATATTATTAAACAGAGACTTGGCAAAGGTAAACCTAGTACGAGGTTCTACGGGAATAAAATATACTCCTAAAAGGTTTGCTTATTCTCTGTATAATATGAATTTGAACAAATACTAAAATTGCAATTTTAGCGTAAATTTACTCTGACGCTAAACCTTGTTTATTAATGGCACTATATTAGTTTAGTGTAGTGGTACAGCAGAATTGGCAACAATGTTTACATGAACTTAGTCAGGCTAGGAAAAAAGTTAAGGGCTTGAGTTACGCCTGATACCTAAGAGTATGTAAGTTCATAGCAGTATGTATAGAAAATAGGTACCTACACTAAACATAAGAATACCGAAATTTTCTACTGAAAACCTTTGATAAGAGGTTATAGGAAATCACACAGCATAACGTACTCGTAACATGGGTGATACCTACACACCCGATGAAAAAAAGTCTGATGTTACTTCAATAATGGTTTTTTACTTCACTGCAATTTTACCTAAGGGTTGACTGTTTTTGCTTTCTACATCAAAATATTTGTTGTTTGTTTTTAATATTGGATAAACATGAATTTCTTACGTTATATCCTTATGGTAGCTGTCGGTACTTGATTTACTTTAATGCTGAGATTGTGAGCTAGAAGGAAAGGGACTAATTATGCTACTGCATTTATCAATGGTAGGTACTTAATTAATAAGCGACAGTTGTTTTATTTACACAAAATAAAATTAAGCAAAACGTACACGTACAATTGATATTACTTAATAGAATATTTTTACAAACTTTTATTTTAAATGTTAGTTAGTGTGCAAATCTTGGAATGAATGAATGAATCATAGACATGTAAATCAGATCACAACGAAATATTATGGTGTCAGTAAGCTGATATGATGATGAAGTCGGAAGGTGGTCATAGAAACTTAGAGATGAAATAACGCAGCTGTATCGTTTTTGGGCTCGTAAGATCTGTCTTTATGAGGACTATAGTACTGGATGCTTTCCAGACCAAGGTCTGATAATAATGGAGCTGGAAGGTGGTCATAGGAACTTAACAATGTAATAACGCAACTGCATCGTATTTGGGCTATTTAAATCCGTCTTTATGAGAACAACAACATATTGAGACAAACACCTTGCAATACAGATGCTATATCAGAAATGAAAACAATAAGACATAACTAAAAAGTCAAAAAATAATAATATAATTCCAACATATTGGCGCCGCTGATGTTGCAGGCCTTTTTGCAAAACTAATTCGACATTTGTACGCAGGCTGCCGGAACCTGGGGAGAAGCCGGCGCCGTCGTCCCCGACCCTCGCGGAACAACCCCTGGACCTCAGCGCCAAGTCCACCTCTAGCACCAGCGGCACGCCGCCACCTGATGCTAAGACACTAGATACCCGGTAAGCGTCATCATAATACCATTTACTATTCATAATAATTAACATAACACCTGAAGCCTATTCTATTTCTTTACGTATGTTTTTTATTTATGTATTGTATATTTATAGTCTGATGTGTATATATAAATGTAGACTCTTATTTTTATTAAAGCAATTGTTTGTTTTTCTTTGTTGCGCCCGTATGCTATCAGACCTTTACTTGTTGACTTATAAAGAAAGCTGTATGGCATTTACTTTATTGTAATAAAGAATAAATAAATATTCGATAATTTATGATGGAAAGGAGGTAGTCTCTAGTCACAAATCTTCATTGAAGTTTAGCAAAATTTTAAGTATAATTAGAAATCTTCCGAATTTTCTTTCAATGCATTGTTTGAATAGGTCCTTAGGTGTCATGGTAGTTCGAACGAATTATAAAACTAGCGCATGTTGGCAATGTTTCTCAGCATAACTGTTTTGTTGCTCTCATCGGGTCTATGGTAGCGATGCACGATGTTACTCCTGCGTTTTGTTATAAGACACGTCATACCCGTACATTATTGCGTTTTAAAACAGCGTAAACTTTATTTTGGTAGCGTAAGATTATAATACAACCACAAAGGACGTGAAGAAATCAAAAGTATTTATCTCTTGTTAGTAGAACGAGACAAACATACTTACATAACTTTACGTGTCAACTGCTGCATCCTCATATAACACGATGCGCGAAAAAATAGCAGCGTACAATGGCGTTTTATTATTTTTGTTAAAATAAAAAAAGAGTTAGTTCAGTACTCACGCACGAAATGAATTATCTTTTTTGCTTTTCTCGTTGTGAATGTGTAATTTATGCATTGTTTGAATGCCTTTCTGCCATTTTTTCTACAACTTTTCACAGAAAATTACGAGTGAAAATGACATTAACCACAATGCTTGCTGTAACTTGACTAAAGTTAAACTCGCGTTTTGATTTATCTAAGTGTTATACCAAATTATTTTAATGTTATTAGTGTCATCTACTTTTCACAAATTAGTGATCATATTGTCAAGTCTTTAAGCGTACGTCATGGTTAAACTTCTTTAGTTGTGTAAACCAAAAATCTTCAATTTGCACGGCTGAAAGCTTTTCTGTTACCCAATGCTCCAATTACACTTTTCCCATAGTATGCGGGTAGATAAATAATTTAAAACAGTTTTTGACGCATATTCGCCATCCTTTGTTCTTATTTAAATAATTTTCGCGAGTAATAAAATAGCTTTTTAAAATTAAACGTCACGGTGATAAAAATCGTCTTATACTTACTTTCGGTCAATAATTATTTACAGATATAAACATTGTTTAAATTGTTAGTTCAGTTGTCTTTGCCGTCTGGCGGACACCATCGGCAGACACCCTCCACTGGCAGGCATATTGTCTCTCGTATAAATACGTCTTAAAAAGCGTTATGTCGCTAATATCAACATTGATATGTCGTCATTTAGCAGGCAACCATTACAAGAGTTGTAATAACATTTTCCATTAATACAACAATTGAGACTAATACAATTATAATTCGAACTTTAATTTCGTTATTTATTTTTGTTATTGTTATATGGGAACTCTAAAATGGCTCCACTGTTACTTATCACGTTTTCCGAAGCATGATGGAGCGTTTTTGGGCATCCATCTGCGAAAATTGCTTAACATCCGCTATCTCAGACTTCTTAAACACAGACTCGTAGTATTGTATTATCTAATTCATATATATATGTGCTTGCACAATTAATCATTAAATGTACGTGTATCGCCGCTGTTACGATATTTATGTTGCACAAAATTGCAAAAAAGCTCGGTGGCGTAAAGGATAAGCGGCCGCGGCCCGCGATCGTTGTTGTTAAGCAACTTTCGCAAGGGTCGGTCACGGGATGGGTGACCAAAAAATTATTATCTCGAGCTACTTCGTGCTTCGGAAGGTACGTTAAGCCGTTGGTCCCGTCTGCATTTGCAGTCGTTAATACCCTTCAATCCGCATTGGGCCAGCGTGGAGGGTCATAGCCCATCCTCCTTAACCATCCATAAGGAAGGCCTGAGCCCCTGCAGTGGGGACGTAAAAGGGCTGATAATAATAAACAAATTTTTACTATTTTTAAGATGAATATATTTTTTTAAAGTTCTTACTATATCAAATACCTATTAAATCTATCGATGTCTGAATTAGTCGTGTTTTTTTGAGTGACTCATAAGATAACAAGGAAATTAACAACCAATCGACAATAGTAACGTTTCTAGGAAGCTGTGTACGTCGAGGTCCAATAAAATCTCAAAATGGTACATTTACCGGGCACAATAGCTCCACTGGAGAGAAACACACCATTTATAATTTTCCATGGGGTCCTTGTGCAGGCTATATTGACCATAATATATAGGACGTTGCTATACCACAGAGCGAAACTGTGTCTTGATTTTAAATTATATTTTTATCCAAATTTCGTACTAATCTTTTAAAAAAATTATGGAGCTTTTATGTAACATTCATGTTTTCAAAAGAGAGACTCGACATAAGGAAAACATTTCTTTATATTCAATATAGGCAAAAATATAGAAAACAATTAAACAATGTTTGTTGAATATACAAATATTGACAGTAGACGGTATTTTAATGACAGAACTAATTATATAATATATAATTTGATACGAGACAATAATTACTAATGAATAAAACGTACTTGAGTCAACAAAGAATGCTGTATTAGTTATATAAGCTACATTATAGCTAGAGATATATCGCGCAATCTCTAGTAGTGTTCGAGTGCGTTATAATTTGAAACGGGTGCGCTAGTAGGTACTGTCGACTTCCTCGGGATCGGATAACGCAAACAATGTGACGTGAACGCACCCATAAACTTATGAAAATGAAACTTTGATTGGACGGGGTCGGTGAACTTTTGACGTCACCTAACTATACGCATTTAAAATAATACTATAATTTAAAATGTTAATCGTTAAATTCTTCATTCTTCACTTTCGAAATCTGCTAAAAATTTAATTGTGCAATAATGGCTGCAAATTAAAATTCAATTGAATAAAAAGTCGATTGAATCTTACGCATTTTTGCCCGTTGCTCTGCTGGGATTTTGTTGCTATTTCTACAATCGCGAATTGATATACCATGAGTAAGTTTTTACTCACTTGCCATTGTTTAATTACAAATCAAAAACCATTCAATTGTAAAAAATATATCTGCTTAAGCTTAGTTTATAAGATATTTAAGTTAAGATCTTGTCTTTCCTACACAGCTATGTCCTGAAATGTAGCAAAAAAAGCCTAATTTCTAATGTTCCCACTGCTAAGGCTCAGGCGTTCCTTATGAGTGGTATCGAAACAAGTCGAATAGGGAGAATGGGGTACACGCGGGCCCAATACGTATTGTGTGTTAATCACTGCAGCTACAATTGGAACTAACGGCGTAAAGAGCCTTCAGAAGCACAGAGGAGCTCGAGATCATATATTTTGGGTCATTCATTCTATGTCCGACCCTTGCGAAAGTTGCATATCGCAGACCGAGCGCGCTTGCCACTGCGCAAGCTCCAATCACGCCATATTTTCATGAAGTGAAAGTGCATTTTCAAATATATTACTTAGTATTCATTTTTTTACACTTGTGCACTTAAGTGTATTTCATTAAACAGTTTGTCCAAGCAAAAGTGAGGGCATTATTTACAAAAAGTGACACTATTATCAGTCAACGCGCACCTCTAATTTGCAATAAATCCAAACGCGCATTGCCGATAAACATTAATACTTAATGTCAAGGAACCCCTATCACCAGAGTCAACGACTACCACGATATTGTAAAAAGGCTTATCACATTGTGTGCCTTGATTCATTCGACTGATGAAATTCAAGACGAGAATGTTGAGTGAGAACACTTGTATATTTATTTATTATTATTTATTAAACCTTTGTATTACAAAACCTATAATTACACGTACAATCATAACGACGCCATAACCACAGATCTGTCTCTCCCACAGACCACTTTTACCAAGGTTCATATTGCGTTCCGTTTCATGAAGATTATTATAAATAATAATATCGCAACAGAGAATACCTACATATATGCGATAATTGTAACGTTCACTTTATTTCACGTCTCATTTAGATACTTGATAATGTTGAGTTTATAATGTTTCATGCCTCATTTAGATAATCCAAAGTACACACATACAAATTCATATATTCGGCTGATTATATATGGGATGATTTTGTCAAACCGACTCTTCAGTAAATCGACTCATTATATAACTGAATGTTGTTTGTTATGGATGATTTTTGTATCTCGCAAGCTATTACTGATCAGTCTTTGGCTCGATCGAGTCTCTATAGTGTAATATTCGAATTTTTAAAAACAATAGAAGAATATAGAGGTATCTATTTTATATAATTCCCTTTCTCAATTCATTCTCAATCGAGCTAGTCGAGAAGCAGACTTAAGTTTTAACAATATAATATCTACGTATCGATACAATATCCAATCGATATCTGAATAAATTCATTCGCCGGGACCGAGATCTGGGTCGCCTCGCCAAAACAAATAAAAATGCAAGCGATAGTCTCCGGTGCATTGACCTTGCATCCTCGGCATACACGTTAAAAGTACCATTCGAACATAAACTTTTTCTACAGCGATATAAAGCACAAAATCCGTCGCCTGCCATCGCGAAAAATAAGAAAGCTAGATCCAAGATGAAACTAAAGAAGTTGACGACCACCGAGCAATTTAAAACTTTAAATATAAAGTGGGAGAGTCGGTTGTGGGGTGAATACACCGAAAATAAAGGCGAATGATAAAGATGCATTCACGGTTGCCTGTTATCGGTGAGACAGAGAGTAAATATTTCGCATTTCGCTTATCTTGGATATGAGGACTGTTTCGAAATGTCTTATTTGATGGTTGCAGTGACCTGATTTGGTGATGATTCACAAGCGAACTGGATGTTTTTGTGTGTATGCGATCGATGAATGAATTGGACCCTTAAAGAAACATAAGCTGTTGGGTGATTCGGCAACTCATTAATGCGTATAAATAATAAGCTGAGTTTTGTACTACTGTTTGAAGTTTAGGATTTTCTTATTTATTTTCATATAATATTTCATTTTAAAATCGATAATTCGTTAGAACAACATTTAAAAAGAAGTTTACCGTCCATCACTACTATAACAACAAGAAAAAATACACTGCCAATTTGTAACTTGTCTATGCATAGATTAAAAACAAAGTAGCTTCCCGCTGTCTGTACGCTCAGATCTTTTAAACTACGAAACGAATTTTGTTGCGGTTTTCATCAATATATAGAGTGATTGAAGGTATATATCTATAAAACAAGACAACGCGGACGAAACCGTTGGCGGAAAGCTAGTTGCAATACTTTACTCTTTGGCTAGTTGTAAATAAAATTGAGTAGTAAAACTATTGTTCTGTAGCTCTCTTTCGCTCTGCACCGACTGCTGTGTTTTATGATACATTAAAATAAAAGTAAATACAATTTTATTAGAAAGCCCATAACCTAAATAGACTTAACAATTTACTTTTGTTTCAGTTTGAAAAGAGGTCCGTTGGACGTAAGTAATAATGTGACAAGACGAGCATACACAGACGACGAGCTGCAGTCCGCGCTAAGGGACATCCAGTCAGGCAGGCTCGGCACGCGGCGTGCCGCCGTCGTTTACGGCATTCCACGCTCGACGCTTCGCAACAAGGTCAATAAATTTGGACTCGCTACGGAGCAACACGACTCAGAGGCCGACAGCGACTCCGAACGGCCCGAATCACCGCCTTCTGTCATATTAAAAATTCCGACATTCCCTCCGCCTGACGACAAGAGCCCATCACCGGCCACTCCAGTCACCACCCCCATCACACCGATCACACCGATCATCCCACCGCCGCAACCTCCGCTAAACCCCTCTGCGCATTTACCAGCCTTCTTTGCGGATCCCCCGGCCAACCAGCATTTGTTCACGTCTATTAATGATGTTATAGTAAGAAGCATTAGCCAAAAGTTTCAGCAACTACCGGACCGACCGACTCAAGCTTCTGATCTGCAGTATATGAGAGCACCTGACCGACATGTATCCGTTATCAAAACTCCGCCGGAGAATCAAAGGAACTATCAAATGCCTAGTAATTCGAAAGCAACGAATAATGGACAGCCCGCCACGGGAGGTAAAGGCACGAGGCCCAAAAGAGGAAAATACAGAAACTATGATAGGGATAGTCTCGTAGAGGCAGTGAAGGCGGTGCAAAGAGGGGAAATGTCGGTCCACAGGGCTGGTTCGTACTACGGCGTCCCACATTCAACGCTCGAGTATAAAGTGAAGGAACGACATTTGATGCGACCGAGAAAAAGAGAACCGAAACCACAACAAGATCCGAAACCACCACCGAAACCCCAGCCAAAAGCACCGCCGACGACCAAACCATTCTCAAACGGGATGAACGGACCAGACACACCGGCGTATCCAACCGGCTACCCGTTCTGGGCAGGCGCTGGCTTCCCACCGCCATCGCCAGATTTGTACGCATCACATATGATGCGACGGTTGCGTGAAGAAGCACCTCCGCCGGCGAACGGGTCATTTCTCGAAGGTATAATCCGATCGAGCTTAGAGCGCCCCGGGGCGGCTTTGATGCACCGACTAACAGAGCAGCGACCACTCGGGCCACAGGACGCACCGAGTCTATTAAGACGTCTGACGGGCGAGCCTGACGAGCCTCCAGCGAGGCGCGCGCGGCTCGATAGCTCCGATCGGCAGCTGGCAGCGGAGATGCGCGAGGCAGTGCAACGGCTACGCGCTGACAAACTTCGGCCACGCAACGGGACTCCCACGCCCCCCGCACCTTCCTCACCCTCGCCGGCACCCGCTCCTGCGCCGCCCGATCGAACCTAGTGGCGCTGCGCACCGATTCCCCCCGAGACGCCTCGATCTCCTCAGTCTTGTGATAATATTATGTAAAGTACATTCCGTTGGGAGAGGCGCAAGTCCGACCGTCAATCGGACTGAGTCGTCAAAGAGAGGCAGGCATCTGCACGCAACAAGCAGTGAGTTTAAAAACTTTCAAAGAACTGTAAAAGTAGACGCCGATGCAGATTCCATTGTGCCTAGCGATATAGGTAAATGTTTCAAATGCGAAGGCCGCCCTTTTGGCGTGAGATTTGAACCAGAAAACCTACCCGCTCGCGTCCGAGACGACGCAAATTTAAATTGACGACATGTTAGAGTGCAATAGAACATTTAAGTATACTTCGTACAGATATCACGCATCGATTGTGGAATACTGTTGTAGTGACAATAACATTAGTTGCAATATTTAGCCCATATTCCGACGTAGACTGGGTTAAATTTATATTAAGCCGCGGTATACTTTCACACTTGCAAATTTTCTGTTTGGGTACAGCTTCCCCCTGTCGGCCCAGGCGATCTCTCACCTACATTCTTAATTTGTGGACACATATCACCAAATAACACAATAGTTACCTAAAATCACGATCAGTTCAACTTAACACAGCTTTACTATGCAGAATCACAAGTAGATTTATAAACCGACTCAACATCTTTTGGTGTCAGCCGTTGAGGCATTAAACGTTGTTCCGTTTACATTATAAATATTGGCTTCCTTTTTTATTAGTACTAGAAAAGTTTCTAAAATAAATTATTAAGAAAAAAAACTATCGTACGAAGGCTGGATTTCCTTCTTTTATTTCTTTCCGATAGTTACTTTATCATCTAACTATGTTCCACAAAAATGTAAAGTTATATTGAATTTTATTTATTGTAGAATGAAACTGCGCGTCGTCACCGATGTCTAGGGTTGTACAAAATTTCCGTGTAAACATGCCTCGATTTTTGAATTTGTTTTAAGTAAAAGACAACCAAAAGTTAAATTTAAAAAATTAACTATTTAAATAACTTTAAGGAAAAAAAAAACAATGTAACAAATTAATTATAAAGCTAGCTATGAGTGTAAATGTTATCGATTTTTAAGTGAACTATTGCAGATTTTGTGCGGTGTTTTTATAATTAGATAGGTAATATATTGAATGAAATTATTAGCGCTATTTGGCGGGTAGTGCGGTTGTCTAACCGTCTTTTTCTATCGCGAGATTAAAGAAGAAGAAGGCAGTAGTATTAGATAGGTCGTCGTTTCAGCAGGGGAGCTTCGACGTATACGAAGCGAAGTTCGGACTTATGTGCAATTATTATTTTGTATAAAAATAGTAATTTAACTGTGTCTAAGCTAACACGTGGATTTCCATATTACTGAATGTGATATTTAGGTATTACGAGTGCGGTTTGTTTGGCATGGGGACACGCCCCACCATTATACATACGCGTATGTACTTTGAATATGTACATCTAGCGAACTTATATATATTTTATGTACTATTATTGTATCTTAAGAAAATATATTCTTATTTTTCATGGTCCAAGTTTTAAATGTTTTATCGACTATACAAAAGTATAGATAATCATTATTATATTCTTGTCAACTTTAAAAAAAAAACTAAAATTAGCCCAAAAATCCTCAAAAAAATATTGATATCTTCAAATTTGTGAAAGTTTTTGGTGTTCAATCAAAGTATATTATTGAAGTACGAGATGAAAATAAAATGTATACGCTCTCCCAGAATAAAATTTAGGTAAAAGTATTTGGATATAAAATTATCATACGATACTTGTAAGTTATGTGTACATGTGCGCCTCATGAAAATTAAGAAGTCTTTGTATTATGTATGTAATTAAAATATACATATTATTATATACAAGTTAAAAAATAATGTCGTACTTTTTCTTCAGTGACCACAAATGATGTGCAAAATAGAAATACTAGAGAACCTCGACTCGACATTTCGACAAACATTTTATTAAATCCACGGACTGCTAGCGAACGGACGCTCAATCATTACAAATACATATATCTAAATCATGATACATATCCACAGTGCCGAGATGTCGAACGAATTCTCCGAGAGAAAAAGTAACAAAAATTTTTATATTCCAAATTTTAAACTAGTCGATAGCATGTCTTTAACTTTTGTTTCACTGTGCATAATTTTCGACGTCTTTTTAGCATTTAATCGTAAAAAATTATCTATATTAAAAGTTATGTGCATTTATCTGAGTGATTGTCGACTTTTCTACATTGAACGTTAGCAATTAGAGATAGTATGATTTATTTTTATTCGTCGTTGTGACTGTTGAGCCCCTCCAGACCGCATTTCGAATTACGTTTGAAAATTTGGAAAAAGAACAAATCCTCTTAAAATACGTACCTAGACGGATCTATGTGTTACGCCTCACATTTGTTGATAGCTTAAAAAAGGTTATTTTGTGTAAGTTTGTACAGAAAAATAGGATGGGACAATTTGCAAAAAGAACTTAGATATTAATGAACATTCCGTTTAGAATGTTATTAGTTTTTTTTATTACTATTATAATATAAAATGAAAAAAATAATATTTTTTGCATCGGGAACAAATAATTATGTTGTTTAATCTTATTTTGTAACGTTAGTTAATTTTAAGTGGCTTTATTTTATAAATAACCCAATATATTATTATAATATTATATTGAGATGTTATACGTCATTGTTTTTGTGCAAAGTGTTTGGGGTTAAATTCCCGGGTTAAAAGAGAGTTGCGACTGATATGTAGTAGAAAATGCCGAGTGTTTTAGCACTGGGCCGGTCTGTACAAAGGTATACGCCGCCTTAACACTTAAAATGTTATTAACAGTGATCTTTTCAACTTAAAATAATCACTTTTAACAGAAAATAAAAACTATAATCATTGCGTGTGCTGAGCCCAAGTTAATTTTCTGTATGGTTGGTTATTTTAGATATAACTTCTGTTTGTTATAAGATGCTCGTTATCAAAATATATTTACATGAATAGAAACAAAAGTGATTGTAAAAATGATGGCAATTATTGCCATTTCAATGTACCTCATTAAAATAGTGAAAAGTTATTGGTCAATCAAAGGCAAATAGAAAAATAACTCTGAAAATAAGCATCTTTTTGTTTGTAAAGATCACTGGTTTATTAGTGAATCATTTTTATTGTATATTGTTCAATCATTTTTCCATATAGTTTAAGAATTTTAGTTGTATTCTAGCGTAAATTTCAATTAATAGGTAGCAGTTAGTAATTCTTTAATATTTTGTTAATTATTTTTTCATAAATATTTTGCGTAAGGGTTAGGTTAGTCTGAACGGTCCTCGACTGGTCCAGGAACAAAAAGACAATGAAGGGAAGTTGCATTTGTTTTTAAATAAAAAAATAAAACTAAGGGCTCCGCGAGTTATTGTGAAGGTGAGTGCAAGAAATCGCATCTCGGGGTTTCCGAACGCACGAAACTTAAGCGTGATCGAGTAGATACTATTTTAAATTTCACACCTCGAATGATGTTTCAACGGATTCGCTTAAATACTTTTTTAATCGCGCACAGGTTTCGTCGGACGGCACTTATAAAAGACATTGCCAGATCTTATTTCTAAGCATACGTGAAAACAAGTTTGTTTGTATGACTGCATCTATTTTCATTTTCAGTTGTTGAAGATCACAAAGCATATGAATACACTTCAAATGCTATCGTATTGGAAACACTGTGCTTATTAACGTGGCGTTTCCAATTTTCATTGTTGAAAAAACTACTTTGTAATGGCACTTTACTAAATGTAAGTTCCGTCTTTATTGTCACTAAATAATTGTTTTCCTTTACAACTGTATGTATTTCTAGAACATTAATTTTAAACAATTATTATTGTACTATTATTACAATAACTGTCTTATTATTATTATTGACATTAAGAATTATTGTGGAAGGGTATAGAATACTGAAACAATAAATTAATGAATTGCTTGATGCAATTAGAGAATGTCCGACATTCGTTTCTTTTTAAATATGTACAAGAAGAAGCATTTAATTTTAGACATAAATAACGTTATCTTTATTAAAACGGATAGTGTAAATTCAACTTATTTTCATGATGTATTTATTGAAAGTAAACGCTTACAACAATACACATCACATTGCTGGGGAACATTCCTTCTTTTTAAGAATGTTTTCTTTGCGACGCCATTTTGAGAAAACTGATTAGAAAAAATCTGGTAATGGACCAAAATAGAGGGTAGGCATTGTTATCTCCTAAATGGCTCATGTTTTTTTTTAATAATATATAATCCGATAAAGAACCTAACGAGATCAAATTATAATATTGTTATTTAATTATTGAGTACAAGTTTTAATGGAATATTTTTTTCAATATACCTTACTCGCCTCTATATTTTTTGTTATTTTGTTCCTTTAGTTTTTATATTATTGTTTAATTGAGATAACAAATAAATGATTTTGCGTTAACATTAGCAACTCATTAATTTTTATTAATAAATTATGAATATTATTATATATTTTACACTTCCTCAGTAACAAAAGTGATGTTTTATAAATAGGTTTTTAATTATTATTTTTTACTCAAGCAAAACAATTGGCGTGTAAAAAGTGATTGGCACATACATTATTAAATCTAGTCAAATTTTAGTGGAAAAATTAAAAAGCTAAGCTTGTGGCGGTATTCGACTGACTTTTTGATAGAAAGTTATAAATAGCGTCCAAAAATAATGTCGCTTGGCGACTCAAAAAGTTGATTTGAAGTTGTGGAATTGTAGACAATGTTTGTAAAAAATTGTTTCTTACGTATACTGTAACATTAGCATCATTTGAGGTAAAAAAGTTTTCATATGTAATGTCCTTTATATATAAGATCTTTATAACTTACGTTAATATCTTAATGATGTGGCTGGTTAGGCAGATGTAAGAATGTGCGAGGATATTTAAAACCTGTATACAATAAATTTTCTTTCATTTGTTGAAAATATATTTCATTTCTG